ATGGGTCAGCAGGAATGCGCCTCGTTGCACACTGAATGCCCGCCCGGAAACTTGCTGCATGACCTGCCGAGGCAGAAACACACACGCATCTCGCAGCATCGCGGTGTCCACCACCAGCACACTCCACACGGCTGATTTTTTCGGAGGGACGAGAGCCGACGAAAATGCTCAAAGCTGATGTTCGCATTTATCAACATCCATCCGGAGCATGCTGGCGGATAGTTTTGCTGGGGAGGAAACGCAGGTGGAAGACGATGAGGAGGAGGAGCGATGATGATGAATGAGGAGGAGAGGAGGAGAGGAGGCTCTCTCTCTCTCTCTCTCTCTCTCTCTCTCTCTCTCTCTCTCTCTCTCTCTCTCTCTCTCTCTCTCTTCTCTCTCTCTCTCTCTCTCTCTCTCTCTCTCTCTCCCCCTCCCTCCCTCTCTTTCCCTCCGTCTTTCTCTTTGTTTCTCTTGCTCACTTTCTCTTTGTTTCTCTCGCTCACTTTCTCTGTATTTCTCACACATGTCTCTCCCTTCCTCGATTCCTACCTCCCTTTCTCCCTTCCCTCCCTCCCTCCCTCCCTCCCTCCCTCCCTCCTTCCCTCCTTCCCTCCCTCCCTCCCTCCCCCTCATCCCTTTCCCCATTCATCTCTTTTTTCTCTTCTCCATCATTCTTTCTTATCTTATTCGTGATCCATCAACACAATGGCTTAGAACAGTCATGCTGCATCCAGGCCTGCAGCTATGACTTACTGATACACGTTGACTCATATGACATACTGTACATGATACAAACTGATATACATAACAGTATTAACAATCACGTTCGCTCATATGACATACAGGATACACATTGCTATACATAACAGTATTAATATTGACTTACGGCTCAGTAGCCATGCAGTTAGTTATATTATCTACGTGAGCAATTAGTTAGCGCGTGTTTGCATGCTAATACTACTCTCTATCTCTCTCTCTCTCTCTCTCTCTCTCTCTCACCACGTCAGCATCGTTACTAATAACACCTTCAGCACTGCCACTCATCGCGCAGTCACGCCCGAACGTCGAATCGATGCTCGTTTGCATAGCGATTAATAATTAACGACTGCGCACCATTCGCATTAATTCAATCTCTAAAATTCGATGAAAAATTCGCGGACTCTTCGTGGGATGGAAACTCCGCCGGTCGACGTCTGGTGGAGGCGTCCGGTTTGCGTCGCGTCGTGTTGCATGCAATTCTGACGACTGCTGGCACCCGCAGGTCATTGTTTCGTCTGCTGTGGAGCAGGAGTGTGAAATCTCGTTATTATGCGACAAAAGAAATTTCTCGTTCAACGCCCGAGGCGGCCCACAGAGTTCGCTGCAGTAATGCTATGGCGTATATATGCAGTACTGATATGCCTGCGGATCTCGACTGTTTGATTTAAATTTTGCTTGGGGTTATAGCTGATGGTTAGTTATTATGAAGGAAAAGTTTTAACTCAATAGTGTTCTCGATGTGGATTTGTCTCAAAGCATTTCCGACGCAGCTGGTGCAATCTACCTGCAATAGTTGCCGAGGAAATAATAAAACGCCTGTTTATAACGTATTAGCGATCAATCAAGGGAAACGACAGAAATGTTCTTCAAATAGGGTCCCGTTCTATAGAAGTGGTTTCAATGTGTTGCTCACATTGAAGGGGAATACTAAATGTGCCCCTTAAACACAGCTGACCATTTTATGGAAGTGGCTGTTAACAGGTTTGACTGTAGGTCGTACTGATTCCCCTTAGAGAGATGTCGTAGCAGTTTGGAATAGACGGGAGTTATTGATCATTATTCACATCAAACATCAAACTCGGTGTATATCTTTCACTAGCAGAAAATACATATGTTACTAGGGTAAGAGACTCACTGAAGAGATTCGCTAACAGATTTTGTTTTCTGCTAATTTACTGATGCGTGGAAACTGGCTGTGTTCACTATATCCGTATATACTGTGCCCCAGTCCTACAGATCCAAACCCCGTTACACGGTTACACAGTCTGTATATGTTATACTGTCTCCCCCTAGTCCTTATGGAAGTAATCCCTGGGGTGCAGGCAAGTTGCCGGGCGTTGCGCGCTATGTAATTACTCTGTAATCTTAGCAGACATAGCACGTTGATGCGTTTAGACGTTCGTGTGAGTGAACACACTGATGAACTGCCCTCCATTGATTTGTTGTTGCTGACTCACACCAGCTTAAAAGTTTCATCGGTTGTCTGTTAATTATTGCCCTGAAAGACAGGTTGTAGAATGCATCGATTCACTATCGATAATTACACTGATTAACCAGATAAAAAAAACTCGAATCAATGTACATGAATTGTTGCACTGAATAACGTACCAAACTTAATTTGAATAAACTATTGATTAACTATTGGTTATTGCAGTGAGTGACAGGTTAAACCATTAATCAATTGACTAACAATTAATTGCACTGATTGACAGATTTAAGTGATGATCGGTTTACTATCGATTACTGCACCGATTGAATACCAATAAAACCATAGATCGGTTGAATATTGAGTAATGCACCGATTGAAAGCAAAGAAACCATCGATGGACTGAATATCGATTATTTCAATGATCGAAGCGCATCATGAACCGACGATCGATTCACTGACCATTATCGATTTTCCTTCGCAGAGGATCTCGACGTTGAAGACACTGCTCGGCCGCAGCGACGGCGGCGGTAGCGTCAAGGACCGCGGCAGCGACCGCGACTCTCTCACCGACAGCGCCATCTCGTCGGACGCCGAGGCGGACGCGCGCGCCGCCGCCGCCGCCGCCGACACGATCACGACGCCGACCTGCGGCGTGCGACCGCTCGCGCCACCTGGCGGCGGCAAGCTGAGCGGCAGCATGACGTCGGAGCTGCGCAGCGAGTGCGGCGAGTCGGGCGTCGCGACGTCGACGATGACGTCGTCTTCGCGCAGCGCCATCGAGGAGAACGGCGGCGGCGTGACGGCGGCGCGGCTCGCCGCGGAGGTGGCGTCCGTCGCTGTGGACTGGAAGAGCCTGCGTAACGTGCACGGCTGCGCGTGCCTCACGCAGTTCGAGCACTTCACGCGCAAGGTGAGCGGGGAGGTGACGCGCTCACGGTGGTGTCGCTGTCACGAGTGACAGTTGTTGTATAGTTTGGTGCGACTGTTATGAGCTAATGATGTTACTACTCCTGCTAATCTTGCAGCTGTGGCTGCTGCTGCCATTGCTGCTGTTGTTGTCGCTGCTGCTGCTGCTGCTGCTGCTGCTGCTGCTGCTGCTTCTGGTGCTGCAGCTGCTGCCGCTGCTGCTGTTACTACTGCTACTACTGTTACTACTACTGCCGCTGGTGGTGGTGGTGGTGGTGGTGGTGGTGCTGCTGCTGCTGCTACTGTTGTGCCCTTGCTCACTACTACTACTACGTGGCTCTTGGGCAAACTTTACCTCTGGATCTCCAGTCGTCTCTATCTTGCAACTGGCTTCTCTCTCTGTCATACAGTCGCGCGTCTCTGAGAAGAGCGCAGACGACACGAGCCGCATGCTAACCGCTGCCCGTGTGTTTTCGTCGTGTGTTTCAGTACCACTGCTGGAGGTGCGGCGAGGTGTTCTGCACGCGCTGCATAGGCAAGCACACGCCGCTGCCGGGCCACTACTCGCAGCGACCCGTGCCTGTGTGCAGGAGCTGCTACAAGCACATCAAGTCGGTCGCGTCGTCGTAAAGCCGGCCGCGCCGTCGGAGCCGAGCGTGCCGCAAACTCGCACAGGTGGCGCCGGTGTAGCAGTGTAGATCCAGCGAGTGCAGGTGGTGTGAATGTTGTTTGTATGGGTGGTGCCAGAGTAGCAGGGTAGATCCAGCGAGTGCAGGTGGTGTGAGTATTGTTCGCGATGGTGGAGTCGGCGTAGTGGCATAGATCTGACAAGTACAGAAGATGTGAATATAGTTCACACAGGTCGCGCCAGTGTAGCAGAGTCGATCTGACAATATGGATGGTGTGATTATTGGTGGTGGCGGCTTCGATCCGACGAGTGTGTTTATGGTGTGAATGTTGTTTGCACAGGTGCCACCAGTGTAGCAGCGTAGGTCCATCGAGTGTTGATGGTGTGATTAATCGCTGTAATTCATCTCTCACAGACAGGGTTAATGGTGTCAGGCTGAGGGATACCAACAATAATAACGTGTGTTTCAAACAATTAATACCTGTAATCAATTGCAATGAAGGTTATCTGTAAATTATGATATCTGAGTGTGAAACCAACGAATTCTTATACACATACGTGTTAGAATTGCAATTTTGTTTGACATGAAGATTTAGACGAAACCTTTGTGAATTTAACAAACAATAGTATGTAGCCTAACAAAATCTAGAGTAATTGTAAGAACAAGATTCACATGTTTATAGTATTGTAATGTGATTTTATTAATTATCCATTAAGTATTGATTACGTAGAACACAAGTAAAACCTTATTCTAACATGAAAGCCTACTAGGCAATCTGAATTGATTGTTTGTTCAGGTTTCTGTTTGTATGTTTGTCTTGAACGCCGTATTTCCACTCCTAGTGCTGGTTATGATGATTGCTACGTAACTCTTTCGGAACAACTGCAGTAATTTCGTTCGTGTCAGGAGAAAAGGTATTTCAAGTGTTTTTTTTTCAGTGTTGAGAAATGCATTTTATATTATTTTCGTGTTGTGATCAATAGCAGTCTAATCATGCGGATTTAAGTGAACCCTCTCTAGTCTGAAGTAGAAGGAGAAAAGCTTTCACGATTAACCGAAACGTCTGAAATGCCATTCGTTACATAGCTGCTGTGGCCGACGGCAGAGCTTTCTTTTTCCTCTTCATTCTATTCCCACTATTATTTTTTGTTATAATCATTTAAATGTACATGTTCATGGAATGTGGAAAAAAATGTTTTTCTGTTCACTCAACGCTCAGCATCCTTCAGTAAGTAAACTAAGACTGGGGTCGTGCCAGTCCAGTAGTCCGGAATAGACCGCAATAGCTGAGCTGAGTGAGATCGGTCTAAATAGGATTCACTCTAATAGTTTGAAATCAATAACGACTCCACCGATGTGTCAATAATGCACTAATTCCCTAAAGTGCTGCCGCGTAATTATGTAAAATCGCGACAAAAGGAGTTTTTAAAGGTTTTTAAGCAATGATGTACGTCTTTTCTAGATTCGCGTGTGCGTGTGTGGTACTCGTATGTGCGTGTGCGATTGTTATATACAGTGAACGTCACTGCATACGGTATTTGGTGGGTTATTGTCCAGGTGATAACATGGAAAATGCAGAAAGGCGTTTGTGTACTATGATATATATATATATAACATTGTTATGCAAATGACACGTTTTTGTTTGTCATTTTAACCACAAGCTACTAAACACAAGTAGACATAAGCACAAATTCATATATAGAGTGTGACACCACGTATAATATCAGTTATCATATTAAAATCGTATTGATATCTTATGCCAAGCGAAAATGCGTTAATTGAAATGGTAAGAGAATGTGATCTGCTTTGTGTATACTTGTCGTTAACTTAGTATTGTTAGATTTTGTTTTGTATTTTAATGCCAGGGTTATCCGTCATGGTTGTTTTCGTTGTCAAGGTTACCCGGGAAGACATATTTCCGTTGCCAGGGTTACGTGAATAGGTTGTTTCCATCGCCATGGTTACTAAGCGATGACGTTGTTATTGTCATGGTTTCCAAGTGATGCTGTTATTGTTGGTGGCCGGTAGCCAGCAATAATGTTTTCAATGCCAATGTTACCCAGCATGGAAGTTAACAAGCGAAAATGCCTGACAACCAAGATCCTGGTCATTATTTTGTGTCCGTCACTGTTGTAACGAATAACATTCCACTGAGACAGGTGCTTAATTAGTGTTAACTAACCAACTCTGTCAGTATTCGTTAAGTTTTAATGAAGAGAATAACAAGTAAATGGTATCCACGCTGAATTTCGTCTTTATTTATCAATTTTTGATCACTAGCAGATACCAATTATTTCGTTTGGCCTGTTGAATGTTGAATTTTCATAGATAATCAACAGCACATAAACTATTTGTACATAGTCTACGTGCTATTGATATATTGGTTTTGATGACTAATTTATTAAATCGATCGTAGATCGTAGATGTATCGGCGATCGGAGGCCGTAGGTACTCGAACGTTGCCTTTCCAGCGGACAGTTGTAATAGGTAGTGATCGATAAGAACAATGCTGTTATGATATCGAACTATTTATTGTAGCCGTGTATAGTTGGCTTGAGTATATCTGTATATATTTCTGCTCTTATTGTAACTATTAATATAGCTGAAATAGAGATTAAATGCCAATCATAATTTCATTTTGTGTCTTGTATAAATGTACGTAGTTAATCCTACCCGTTTATATCTAAGCCAAATTTAATGTAAATGGTGACTTATTTGGCATCTAGCATTGAGGTGTCACGCTGTGCTTCGCCGTCCATAAACGCGTCACCACAATTACCTTAACTTCAAAAACTTATTCGCGATCGCATGAAAAAGGCACATCTATGCACTCGTTGATATTCACAAGAGTCTGGCAGGGACGCAAATCCATTTTAAAAAGGGGGGTACCAGACATGGTGCAAGAGCCTGCGAGGGCGCGAAGCGGCCGAGGGGGGTTGGGAGGGGGGTATCCCCCGTTCAACGGTAGGAACCTTTCGTATTTCTGATCTCTAAAAGGTTCATTTTAGCGCATTTTAATTATTGCAAGTATCAACTATTGTTTGTATCGTTTACATCCCATAAACTAGGTCATCTGATAACTAGAGGTCGATGAATTTTCAAAACTTTCCATTTCAAATGTATATCGTTGATTGTATTCCATCAGGGGCTTCGATCCATTTTGAGGATGGGGGGGGGGGCAAACAATATATTCAGAATTTAACGTGTTAACGTATGGTAGCTTCTAGTAGCTTCTGGTAACTATGATATCTTTATGTATCTCTTAAATTTATCTCAAAACAAAATTTAAACTTGACACTTTTCACATGTACTGGAATTACAACCATTCACTGAGTGAAACAGGCAGAAGGGTTTTTGAATTTGGAGACTTTTCATGTACACTCCTAAAAAAGTTCGGAAATTCAGGTTTGATCGATCATATCTCTCTTGTACCTGTATTATTATCATTGCATTTAGTATCATTGGAAGGCCTGTTCATTTCCCTTCACAATGATGTCCCATTTGCAATGATTATGCAATTGGAGGATGTGCAGTACAGCTGAATATGCAGTGCAGCTCGAAACAAGAGTCAATATAAAGGAGAATACACTTTTGACGATAGCAATACATTTTTCAACATTTCACTTCGGAACCACCCCCATATTCAGGTCTAACGATAAGAATTTGTTACAGAAATCGATGCTGAGATACCCCCTGACCAAACTAAATGCATTTTCATCACAAAATAAAACTCCTCTGGTGAGATATTGCGCATGCGCTAAAACAGTAACGTAGCCAGGTTATGTACGGAATGGTATATGCAGCGGGGACCTTACATGCAAGGTCTACTTCCTATTTCTGAAGTGAGGTCTACTGATGAAATTTTGTCATATAAATCTATGCTAGGATAAGCCCTAATATAACTTAGGTCTATATAATATATAGTTAATATTAATAATAGTTAAGATTAAGTTGTATAAGATATATTATATAGGATCAGCAGGGCCGGACTAAGCGTGTGGGGGGCCCGGGGCACGCAATTGTGTGGGGGCCCTATAGTCTGTATTTTTTCTGCACTTTCATGCTTGCAAATTCAGAGAGTATTTCATCGTGTTTCACAAATTTAAAATGTCACTTTCGATACCAAAAAAACTGAGGTTTACCAGTCTCTGTTGGCTCATCGTGGTTCTCATGTGATTTTTAATCAACTTGAGTTTAAAAAATGACTTTTCACCGCTACAATTCGAGACCATCAATGAAAGATAGATTCTCAGAGCATTTCGGTATTAGGGAAAGTGTCCTTCAGCTGAACAGCAAAATTCAGTCAAAGAAACAGCATAGGAAACGCATCACTTCAACGTTACATGCTAAGAATTTTGTGGATCACAATTACGACAGTTTTGTAAATTTTAGGATACTCTAAATGTGGGGGGCCCGGGGCACGTGCCCCTGTTGCCCCGCCCTTAATCCGCTAGTGAGGATAAGTTATAAAACAACTTCATTTTAAATTCATGTTTGCAATATATTATTCTTCTCCGGAGATATTGCGCATGCGCGAGCACCGTTTCAGACGCAGGCGACAGATATCCACATCCAAGTGTGGCATTAAGCCACCGGGGGCCTAGGGCTGCTAGGGCCCCGCTGGCGCAATAATACACTGTGCAAGTGATGCAGCCTACTTTACTTTGCTTGGCTTACAACCAAGGCTTACCACACACTACTATTAGCCCCCCTTACATTACCTTAGCCCCCCTTCATATGCAATACTATATATGTGGCCTTGGAGGGCCGCCAGCATACATTATACTACAATACTATATAGATGGCATTAGGCCACCGTCATATACAATACTATATATGTGGCCTTGGGCCCCATCATACACTATTCTATTATTACAATACTATATAGGTGGCCTTAGGCCCCCGTCACACAAATACTATATATGTTGCCTTGGGCCCCATCATACACTATTCTATTATTACAATACTATATAGGTGGCCTTAGGCCTCCGTCATACAAATACTATATATGTCGCCTTGGGCCCCCAGCATACATTATTATTACAATTCTATATAGGTGGTGGCCTTAGGCCCCCGTCATATACAATACTATATATGTGGCCTTGGGTCTCCATACACTATTCTATTATTACAATACTATATAGGTGGCCTTAGGGCCTTAGGCCCCCGTTATACAAATACTATAGATGTGGCTTTGGGCCCCCATCATACACTATTATTACAATTCTATATAGGTGGCCTTAGGCCCCCGTCATACAAATATAACGCCGGCAACACTATAACGTGCTACTAATAACTTCCCGAGTGCTGCACTGGCGCTTGTGTTGTTTTTTCCTATTTAATGCTATATTTATGCCTATGGGTAATACAATCGGCATATACCATGGTAACTTATTTTAGCATTACTAAAATAGGTAAACAAAAAGAGCTATTTTTGGTCGCGGAAGGGTTATTGTCGGAGTGAGCTGACGGAGGCTGGAGGCCACAGGCGGGGGACGAAGTGGCCTAAAGCCACACTTGGATGTGGATATCTGTCGCCTGCGCTGCGTATACCAGCCAGTACACAATCTGGCTACGTTAGTGTGTTAGCGCATGCGCAATATCTCACCAGAGGAGTGATATTTTGTGATGAATATGCATTTAAAATGGGTAGGGGGTATCTGAGCATAAATTTCCCTACTAAACCTTTATCAGTTTACCTCTGTTTATAATTAGGAGCCCTAGCATGTAGGGTGCAAAACACCTACATTATCCCCTCGCGTCCTTCCCCTTGCCTCCCCTGTCCCTCGCTCAGCCTCCTTATTCTTCTACCGCCCGAGCTATCTTCCCTGCCGCCTTTCCTTAGTCTCTTATCTCCTCTCCCCCGCAGCAAGCTATATTGTGAAGTTTGCCTCAGACGGCACTGCACGCCTAACACGGTGCGCGCGCATGCGCAATATCTCCCGAGAGCAATCGTATTTTGCAAAGATTATGCATTTAAAATAAAAAGGAGTTATCCTAGCATAGATTTGTATGATAACATTTCATCAGCAGACATCATTTGAGAAATAGGAGGAAGACCTTGCATGTAAGGTCCCCGCTGCGTATACCAGCCAGTACACAATCCGGCTACGTTAGTGTGTTAGCGCATGCGCAATATCTCACCAGAGGGGTTATATTTTGTGATGAATATGCATATAAAATGGTTAGGTGGTATCTTAGCACAGATTTCCCTAATATGTAGGGTACGAAACACCTACATTATGCCTCCATGCCTCCACGCCTACACATGCCTCCCCTGTCCCTCGCTCAGCCTCATTCTTTTTCTACCGCCCCAGCTATCTTTCCTGCCGCCTTTCCTCAGTCTCCCATCTCCTCTCCCCGCAGCAAGCTATATTATGAAATTTGCCTCAGACGGCACTGCACGCCTAACACGGTGCGCGCGCATGCGCAATATCTCCCGAGAGCAATCGTATTTTGCAAAGATTATGCATTTAAAATAAAGAGGAGTTATCCTAGCATAGATTTGTATGATAACATTCCATCAGCAGACATCATTTGAGAAATAGGAGGAAGACCTTGCATGTAAGGTCCCCGCTGCGTATACCAGCCAGTACACAATCCGGCTACGTTAGTGTGTTAGCGCATGCGCAATATCTCACCAGATGGGTTATATTTTGTGATGAATATGCATTTAAAATGGTTAGGTGGTATCTTAGCACAGATTTCCCTAATAAACCTTTATCAGTAGACCTCTGTTTATAATTAGGAGAGCGCCCTAGCATGTAGGGTACGAAACACCTACATTATGCCTCCATGCCTCCACGCTTACACATGCCTCCCCTGTTCCTCGCTCAGCCTCATTCTTCTTCTACCGCCCCAGCTATCTTTCCTGCCGCCTTTCCTCAGTCTCCCATCTCCTCTCCCCCGCA